ACCAGCCACCAAAATAATGATCCCTGGGATATGCTGATACAAAAAGGGGCCACTGAGCTGCCCTGAGGATATGCTTGGCCTCCTGTCTGGCAGGCATGGGTTGGCTGGGAGAGAGAAGCCCTGCTGTTTTCAGAGCAATTACATGCTCCTGGCATTTAAGAGTGGGGTTTGCATTTTTCCTTTTCTCTGCTACTCAGTGGTATTCTCCGTTTTTAGCACTTACATGGCTGAGTAAATGTTTTTCAGCTGTTGAGCTGAGCTCAATTCAGTCTTCCCCATCTCCTCCCTCCCATTTCCACCTCCTGTTTCCTGCTTTTCTTCTGGTAGGAGTGTTTATCCCAACAAAACAAAGTCTTACATTTACATAATGGCCTGTGTTTCTGTGCCAAAAGCTCATCGAATATGTCTGGGAGTGGAGGCTGGTACTGTCCCCACTTCCATACAGGAAACAGGGATTAGGTGGCTTTGTCAAGATCACTGCTGGAAGAACACTTCAAAACTTGGAGTCTCATCCCCACCTTCCTGTGTGACTCCTCATAGATGTTGGAGTCTGAGTATCAGAGCAGAGAAAGACCACCATGCAGTGACCTTTCTGGCCAAACTAGTAACAAAACACAGTGGCTGCTCATAGTGACACTGATGAGATACGGCCCCTGTGCAGGGTATGGGTTTTATTGGTTCACAGTAGCTCCTTTATCAGATGTGTCTATTTACTGATTCTACACCAAATGTTTGGCTCAGATGAGAATCATCCTTTACTTCACCCCCTTCCCTATGACTGAAGAATAAGAAGATATGGAAGCTGGGTTTGATGGAGTTGCTTAGCAGCCGCAGAAGGCAAGAGGCAGCTCTCTACAGGGATTTTCAGGACCTTGGACATGTCCCAAGGAGTAAAAATGCTGGCTTCCAGTGGAACCCTGAAGTGTCCCCTTCAGCAGTTACACAGCTGGTGTTTGTTATTGACTAAAAATTTTAAATGCTCATGTCTCTTTCCCTGTTTGGTGTTCTAGAAAGTGTGAAGAAAATTGCAATTACCTTCATGGATTTGGTTGGAGGGTGGTGTGAAGAGCCACAGAAGTGGGAGTCTACTCTGACTCCTTAAATCCTCTCTTTTTCTTTTCTGTAATAATATGACCTTCTAATATCATGCATATATCATTTATTTTGATTTTTATACCTGTTTACCCCACTAGAATGTGTTCACTGTGAAGATAGGATTTTTTGCCTGTTCAAAATTGCTGTTATTTGTATAACACCTAAAACTGTGCCTGGCAACTATTAGGTGTTCAATAAATAACTGCTGATTGAATTTAGTTAATCTTCCTTCTAGAATTAGCTACTGTAACCAAAACCAGAGTATCTGAATTTGTTCCAGATGTTGAGGGGGCTGCCTGGTGGGATCAAGAAGTTGAGATAAAAGAATTTGAGGTTTTCAAAATGTGAATACCAAGAATTGCTGTAGCGATTCAGACTCTGGACCTTCTGGATTAGTATTTTAATTCTATCACAGGAATCAAGGAACTGATGTGATGGCAGAGTCTAGCTGTTACTTTTGACATCTGCTTGATGCTTCAGATTCATTGTTTGTTACTTCATTAACTTAGACAGATGGAAGGTCAATTATTTTTTTTTTTTCTGTTTAGGGTCAATCTTACTGATAATTGCTCTGGGGATAACATGTTGAACAGACATATAGGTCATACCATCATAAATTTTGTCATCCATAACTAGAATAGTATTTTGGGGGTAATTATCCTTTTGAGCTTTTCCAGCTTTGTAAAGAAGCATTCTTTGACTTTACTACTTTTTAAATGATATGATTTTGCATCCAGATCCTTAAGTGAGTTTTTCCAAGCCTAGGTGAAGAGGTTGAAGTTCTTGAAGTTCAGTATGGAACCCTGGACTTACTGGTTCACTGTGCTGGAACCAAGTGCTCCATTTAATACAGAAAACTCTTTCGTTGGTTGTCCACAATACATGAGGCTAAATGGATACGAATGACACAGTAGTGGGTATATGAAGGTAGAAGAGAACAGAACATTTTGGTCTTGAAAAGTGTCTCCTTCTGTTTTTGTTCTGCTGCCAGCTACCACTCCTTGTCTGATAATGGTCTACTGATGAACATATCATTAGTACGATGTATAAATCTCTTCCCAGATCACATTCCAGAAAATGGAGGGGGATATTAGAGCATAGTGGGTTTTTATGTGTAACTTAGCAACAGCATATGTGAAAAGAATTAAGAGAATAGATTAAGAGTGTTATAAACTCCAAGTGAGTCAACATTGAGGCTGCTGTTGCGAGGAAGCAATAATTATGCCCAGCAGCCCCTGGAGCGCCATGGTTGAGGAAGCACAGAGCAGATGAGAAAGTACTCAGGGCAAGGACGTTCTGAACTCTGACATGAGGAGGAGAAAAGAGAACTGGGAATGTAGGACCATGAGTGCTGTCTTCAAAGGAGGTGGGCTCTCCATGTGGGAGAAGCATTAGATGTTTTTGGTTCTTCAAGTTTGAAGTGAGGTTGACTGGATGTAAGGATTTCCTGGGCTCAGAGATGTACCAGAGAGGTGCCCCTAGGCCCCACTGCCTGGTCCTTTAGGAAAAGTACTATTCCTGACTTACATGTAATCAACTCAAATACCTACTGAAGCCAATGCTAAGTCATGGCAAGTAGGTATGCTACCCAGGAGGTAGAGAAAGGACAACATCTTCTGTGATCTTCTTCTTTTCTAGTCAGCTGACTTTATTTTTTTTCTGCTTCTTTTGAAACACTTTACAATACCTATTGACTTGACAATTCAACTTTTGGAGACTGTACTTTATAAATAAAAATTAGAGTAGTTCATGATGTATGCACAAGCGCATGTGGGTGTATATAATATATATAATATATAATATACCTATTATAGAATTGTTTGAATTGCAAACATGTGGAAACAACCTGAATGACAAAGAATTATTACAGTGGGTTGGATCTATATCTGCTATCTAGGAAGAATAGGCAGGATATAGAGTTAAGTGAGATAAATAAGAGAAACATATAGTATGATTTCATTTTGAGAAAATAAATTTTAAAAAATTCCCCTATGTAAAATTGGGCTTAGTATATGTTTTTGTGAGGATGGCAAAAGGAGTGTAAGAATGTAGATGACGTTAACAATGGTTGGAGAGCTTGGGGGTGGATGAGGTCTGGTAGGAATCTGAGAGACAGAAGATGCAGAAATAGAGATGAAGGAAATCAAAGGGGAGGGGAATGGCTGCATGTTCATACATATGTGTATTTGTGTCTATCTTTATTGCTTGTGTTTAAGTATATTAATTTAGAGGACAGGAAAAAAGACAAAGGAAAGAAAGGAAGAAATAAAGAAAGAGGGACAATTCCTTTCCTCTCACATGTTAATCCCATCTTTGGTTTTACTCCTCTTTTATAAAAATGCTCTCAAACTTTCTGTTAAAGACAATCTGGAGGTTTTATAATGAAAAATCATCTTTCAAGTTTTAATAATTTAGAGATGGTGTTTTAAACAAAAGGAAATCTAAAGAATTTTCAAAGGTAAAATATTTTAAGTTAAGACTGAATATCTTGATATCATGAACAATGAATGACGGAGACTCAGTTGTATGTTTCTAAGTTGTTTTTTGCTATGTAGAATGTGTCCGTTTTCTCCTAGTACTTCAGAAATATGTATACTTTCCTAAAACTAGAGAACACAGGATCAAGCTAAGAGCACTGACCCAAAGCTCCTAATTTACTATAGAGAAGAGTACTAAGGTGTGTGTGTGAGAGAGAGGGAGAGGGAGAGGGAGAGATCAGTTTTTCTTTGCTAAGATAGACATAAAAATACCACTATTTTCTTGGGATTTGGATGCTTTCTATTAGATTATTTTAATAATTATTTTCCACATTAAATTATATCCATTATACCTTCATATTTGAAGCAGACGTTTCTTTCTACATAAAGAATAGCTATACATTGTAGAATTGGCTGGTTATTTAGCCCTTGCTTATCTTGAAATTGGAATTTGGGGAGAATAGGATGCTGTTTCATATTCCATCTGATGTGGACCCAGAGCTGATACCAGGCAGCTATACTGATTTATAAAGAGGCAAGTGAGCAAGTATGTCAGATCTATAGGAACAGTGATAGGGGCATAGTTCCTTGATTTTAAGGTGTTCAATTAATATACTAACTCAAATCTTAATGTATCTTACTTCACATATATGCATTTATTAGGGTAATTATGCAAATAAGCAATGGGCTTATAAATGAAGATGTTAACTAATAAAAACAAAAAAATTTGACATGTTAGAAATCCTGAGGAATCTCATTAGCTGATTTTTGATGCAATTAGAACATTCCAGAATCATGAACCTCAACTAGAATTGCTGCCTATATAGTACTATCTTGATTCAGACAAGCTAGAAAATTATAACAGTGTTTATTTTCATACAGTCAATGGCCTTATATGTAAACAATACTTAAAAAACTATAAAGTAGGCTCTGCATGGCTATTTACATTTTTTTAAGTCTCAGTTTTAATTCAAAGGCACCATCATTTTGGGAAAACTAGTCATGTATAGTGACATTTTTCCACTTCACAGGCTGAAATATCTTTCATGATCCCCCAAACCTGAATGGTGCTAATGGGCAATTTATCTGTCACAAGTGGGTGGGAAGAATCAGAAGAGAAAATGTCTGTGGAGCTGTGACCTGAAGAGAATAAAGGAATGAAGGTCAGCTGTGATGTGGAAAGATGTCCTCACTGACTAGGTTGCTTGTATTCTGCATTTGCTCTCAGCGTCCTGTCAAGCATTTTCTTTGAGTTTTGTTGTCACTGTTGCTTTGTTTTCTTGGGCATTCTATCTGCTTCTCCTGGAGAGGCACCCTTTCCCCTGCCCCTCCTGGCTAGTCCGTGAGGCTTCATGGCTGACGTTCCTGTGTATTGGAGTCCGTGGTCTTCTGCTGCTTATCTCATGCCTTTTCTTTATGATGTTTCAGCTCATCCACCATACACCATGTGCTTTAGAGTGAAATTCTACCCACATGAACCCTTGAAGATTAAAGAAGAGCTCACAAGGTATTTTCCGTTTGTTTGTATGTTTAACCTACACCTTTAACCAGCCGTTGGCCTCTGCCATCTTACAGGCTTGGAGGCGCCTCTGGTCTAGATCATAACCTCTCAACCAAGCAGGCGCTAAACTCAGCCATTTGGCCAGAAATGCTTCTCGTACATTTAATTGTCTTGGGATTTTTTCCCCCCAAACAATTGTCACTGGGAGTGTAATTAGCTGCACAAAAAAGCAGTGGTTTTGAGGGGGAGGTACTCTGAAAACATCTGACAGTGGGATGCTAAAAATAAGTAGAAGAGGACTGTCTTTAGGATGTGGGCAAATTCATAGCTAGTGCAGCCTACTTTGGGGATCTTAGCTGTTCTGGGAGGAGAAAGATCACAGTCCAGCAGAGTGGACAGTTGGTCATTCAGCTTGCTAAATGATGACCCCACCGGGGCAGGTTTCCCTTCCCTTATAGACTTTTCTAAGTTTGAAGTTTCCAGTTCTCAGATCTCCTCCCTTCACATCTCTCTCTGCTGGAGTTACATTCAGTTCACCTTCTGGAGGTTTTGCTTTTTGGCAAATGTTGCTAAGCAGGCCTCTCCCCAGGGAGGCCAACTTCATGGTGGATGGAGGAGAGAGAGAGCTATTGTGCACTTCATTCTTGATGGGGCTCTGATTTGGTGACCCCCCAAATCACTGTGTATAATCATCTCTCAAAATAATCGGCTTATGTGCAGATGCAATAGAAAAGCAAATGCAAATTGCTCTGATCATTGGCAGGGGGAAAGATAGGGTTTTTAGGTATTTTGCTTTCTTGTTACCCAGAGTCTCTGTTAAAGCTTGACCCCAGTGGCACTGAGGTGACTTTGGAAGAGAGCAGATGGTTCTGTTCTCTATGATTAATTTGCTAACAGCCATTTAGAGAGGTTTGTGCTGGGGGTAGAGGAGTAGGGAGAGAGGCTATGTATGTGTGTGGAAAGGAGGAATTAATAGGTCATTATTTTACAATCTGTCTCTTTTTTCTTTTTATTTAGGTAGGTAAAATTCATATAACAAATTAATTCCATGATCAAATAGCGTACAGCTCAGTGGCCTTGAGTACACTCACAACAACCATCAACACTATCCAGTTCTAGAACATTTTTTATCATCCCCCCAAAAGAAACCATATACCCCAAACCAGTCACTTCTTATAGTCCCCTTTCCCAGCCCCATGTCTATTTTCTGTCTTAATGAGTTTGTCTATTCTGGATGTTTTATATCAGTGAATTCATAGAATATGTGTCTTTAACCTGATTTTGGTTTGAAAATTTATTTGATAATTTCTTCCTCAGTTCTGGCTATCTAGCCAGGGCGAGAAGCTGGGTGAGTTATCAAAAACAAACAAACAAAACCAACAATAATAACAGACAAAAGAAGATATTTGTTCTGCACTGAGGGTGTTAATGTTGTAGTTAGGAAGATGAGATTTAAAAAAAAAAACAAAACTGCTTTACTTTTGTCATTTGTTTTCTCCACAATCTTGTCTGGAGGATAAAAATCGAATGTGTCACAGTATAAATTAAGGATGGATATTTTGTTGTTGATGAGAAAGGTACTATTTGAGAGCAAAAGAATACAAAGTTTTCGTTAATAACCCTACTTAAGCCCCTGTCAGTTGAATTTGCTAATATTTTCCTGACTTTGACTAAATAACTCAGGCACAAGCAGTGGAATATTGTGAATATTTCAACATTTCCAAAGGAAGTTAAGAAGTCCTCTGCCTCTGCATAGATAGATTTTTTTCCTATATGTCAAATGTGTCACACTATTACACTTCTCAGAGGAGGACATACAGTCAATCAACAAGTACATGAAAAAATGCTCACCATCTCTAGCTGTCAGAGAAATGCAAATCAAAACCACCCTAAGATACCATCTCACTCCAGTAAGATTGGCAGCCATTAGGAAGTCAAACAACAACAAGTGCTGGCGAGGATGTGGGGAAAAGGGTACACTTGTACATTGCTGGTGGGACTGCAGATTGGTGCAGCCAATTTGGAAAGCAGTATGGAGATTTCTTGGAAAGCTGGGAATGGAGCCACCATTTGACCCAACTATTCCCCTTCTTGGTCTATTCCCTAAAGACCTAAAAAGAGCATGCTACAGGGACACTGCTACATCGATGTTCATAGCAGCACAGTTCACAATAGCAAGACTGTGGAACCAACCTAGATGCCCTTCAATAGACGAATGGATAAAAAAAATGTGGCATTTATACACAATGGAGTATTACTCTGCATTAAAAAATGACAAAATCATAGAATTTGCAGGGAAATGGATGGCATTAGAGCAGATTATGCTAAGTGAAGCTAGCCAATCCCTAAAAAACAAATGCCAAATGTCTTCTTTGATATAAGGAGAGTAACTAAGATCAGAGTAGGGACGAAGAGCAGGAGAAGAAGATTAACATTTAACAGGGATGAGAGGTGGGAGGGAAAGGGAGAGAGAAGGGAAATTGCATGGTAATGGAAGGAGACCCTCAGGGTTATACAGTGGAGGGGGTAGAGAGAGAGGAGGGGAGGGGAGGGGAGAGGTGGGGAGGGGGGAGGGGGGAGGATGGGAAAGGCAGCGGAGCACAACAGACACTAGTATGGCAATATGTAAATCAATGGATGTGTAACTGATGTGATTCTGCAATCTGTGTATGGGGTGAAGGTGGGAGTTCATAACCCACTTGAATCAAAGTGTGGAATATGATATGTCAAGAAATTTGTAATGTTTTGAACAACCCACAATAAAAAAAGAAAAAAAAAAGAAAAGGAAAAAAATTAAATGTGGCCTACTTTTAAATAAATCTGACAAAATAGAAAAAAATACTTTTTTTCTTAGTCAGCATGGTCCTTAGCATTCCAGACTAATTTACAAATTGTGCCCAAGTACTTATAGTTTAAACCCTTGTCTTGAAAGCATTTAGCTTTTTCTAGTATGGTAAGTTATTATTTTGTTGTAAGATTTGACCTAAAATTTGAAGAGGATTTAATATATGAGCAGTTGAAGTCCCATTCATGACCATGCTTATGAATAAAGAAATGTTAAGGAACAGGTTTAAAAGGGCAAAGCAACAAAAATACCCATGAAAAAGGACATTTGAAATCAGTTTTCATCCTCTCCTCATCTCTCCACCATTTGAGCAGTCATCTTACAATCATTTAGATTTCTGAGCTTTTATAAATGCCATATGCAATCAAATGTAGCCAAAAGTATGTTGGTTTAAAACATATTTTTTAGTGAGAACCATCTTTAAATTCATGGAAGCAATATCATTTATGGCAGCACAATAATTCATGCCCCCAATCCTCTTGTGTTTTGGTTGCTTAATCCTTTCATGCAGGAATGATACTAAGGAAGATGGATTATTTTTTGATGGTGGTTGTATTAAAAAATGAGCATTCTGAACCTGAAGCCATCAAAAGCCCCCATGGATTATGTTGAGTCTGCAATAAATCCTTGATTATCTCCAGAGATCACTGATATAAGCAAAGACCCAAGATGTGATGCTGTGAAAGCTGATTTTCTTTTCTTAGGAAGCTTTCATCAAACCTGATTTCTGAGTTATAGGATTAGAACCCAAACCTCTCATTCATTAGTAAATAGTTGTTTAAATTTTTTCCACTACTGAACTCATCAAAAAGTAGAAACTAATGCGTTTGTATTCAAAACACACATTCAACAATTAGAAAAGAAACCTCATGACATTTGGCCTGGAAGTTTACAGTCTTTAGAGAAGGAAAGATTTGATCATTTCAAGTACTTAGATCCCGACTTTGGTATTCTGGACAAATCAGGGCCATGGTCTTAGAAGTGAGGTCCCTGGACTAGCTCAATGCTGAGCACAGTGCATAACATAAAGCAGGGTGAGATAAAGATCCATCCATTAATATTATCTGGGAACTTATTATAAATACAGATTATTGGTCCCTGCCCCTGACATACTGAATCTGAAACTCTGGGAGGGGACAGCAATCTATATTTTCATATGGCCTCCAGGTAATTCTGATCATGTTAAAATTTAAGAACCATTACTCTAAGATAATTTGTATTTTCAAAAGCACTGGTTTCTTTTGGCAGACATTAAACTGTATAATCCAGTGGGGTTTAGTATGGTCACAAGGTTGTGCTACCACCATCATGATGTAATTCCAGAATATTTTTATCTCCCTAGTAGGAAGCTTGGTATCCGTCCTCTCAGTCCTTGGAAACCACTAATCTTGTTTTCTGTCTGTATAGATCTGTCTATGTTGGACATTTTGTATAAATCGAATTATACATTATGTGACCCTTTATGTCTGGATTCTTTCACTTGACATAACATTTTCAAGATTTATCCTTGTTGTAGCATCTAACAGTACTTTATTCATTTTTATGGTTGAATAATATGCCGTTGTATAAATAGACCACATTTATTTTATCTACTCATCAGTTGGTGGATATTTAAGTTGTTTTCACTTTTTAGCTATAATGAATAATGCTCCCATGAATATTCACATATGAGTTTTGGTGAGGGCCAGATTCTGATTTAATTGGGTCTGAGGTAGAATTCAAGGACTCACGGTATTGGCGTTTTTCAGACCTCTCCCTGATGATTCTAATGTGTAGTCATGGTTAAGAGGTTGCAAACTGGTGCATCCTAGCTGGGTTTTGTTTGGCACTATAGTGCTTTTTTTTTAAAAAAAAATTTATCTTATAGTCTAATTTTTATTTTTTCTTATATATATTTTTTTAATTTATATATGACAGCAGAATGTATTCTTATCACATACATAGCACACAATTTTTCATATCTCTGGTTGTATATAAAGTATATTCACTCCAATTCGTGTCTTCATACGTGTACTTTGAATAGTAATGATCATCACATTCAACCATCATTAATTACCCCATGCCCCTTCCCTCCCCTCCCACCCTTTTGCCCTATCTAGAGTTTGTCTATTCCTCCCAGGCTCCCGCTCCCTATCCCATTATGAATCAGCCTCCTTATATCAAAGAAAACATTCCGCATTTGTTTTTTGGGGATTGGCTAACTTCACTTAACATTATCTTCTCTAACTCCATACATTTACCTGCAAATGCCATGATTTTATTCTCTTTTATTGCTGAGTAATATTCCATTGTGCATATATACCACATTTTTTTTTATCCATTCATCTATTGAAGGGCATCTAAGCTCGTTCCACAGTTTAGCTATTGTGAATTGTGCTTCTATAAATATTGATGTGGCCGTATCCCTGTAGTATGCTGCTTTTAAGTCCTCTGGGTTTTGAAAATAATTTGTTGTAACACTTAAAATTCAAAGGTTTCACTTGTGAATCTAATTTCGATGTACTTTTAAGTTTAAAAATAAACTATTTTTTAATCAAAGGAACACACACACACACAAATAAGCACTTCTATGTGTATCATTTTAGAAGTTAAATAGTACTAGAAGGTTTATAATTAAAACAATCCCCCTGTCCCCACCTTCCCAACACCCAGCCTTTCCCTAAAGGTTAGCACCCTCAACTTTTCTAGATAGTGGATATGCTAGACCAGTGCTCTACCACTGAGCTACACCCCAGCCCCTTATACCATTATTTCTTGATTTGCCAACTTTAATCCTTGTCTCTTGACTTCCTGCCATGGCGAAAAACTACTCATTCTTTCTTTCCTATCCCAACTTCTCTTTTCTTCCCCCATGACCTGGTTATATATAAGTTTTTGTTAAACCAGGGGTCAATGTTACTTTAACTATATATCAATATTACTCACTGAGCCAAATAATACATTGTAAACTCTTTTCCTCTACATACTTTCATTTTTCTCCAAATTTTCTCCAAAGTTAGTAGTAGCCTCATGTAATCATTTGTTTGGTTTTTCATCTACCCATTGTAAATTTTTTCCCAATGTTCCATCATCTCTGCTATTTCCTTATTTTGCTGAAGTAGATCTTCCAAGTTTCTTTGTGAAATCCAACACTTTATCATTCATATCTATTTTCCAACCAAGCCAAAAACCTGCACAATGCAAGGACCCAAGTTCATGGGCTTTGTCTCAAAACACAATGGTTGGCCAACTGCTTTTTCATAATGAGGAGAGACCAAAGCTCTGGGGAGCCTCACATCCTTGTCCCAAGCTCAATTTTCTGAGAAACTGGGCATATACTTTCCATAGGGCTGGAGCCAAGAGGTGGCTGCCCTCATTGTAGGGAGCCCCACCTTCTGCTTTTCTTTTCTTGGCCTCCTTGCACCAGCCCATTTCCCTGGCCACAGGTTTGCCTGGCCTCTGCAGGCATCTACATCCCTGAAGAGGAGGACAGGATACAGATGACAACTCTAATCGTGATCTGCTGGCTTTCTGGCCTCGTGACTAAGCCTTTTTTTTTTTTTTTTAATTCATTAATGTTTCTGTCTACCAATGAGAAATGACGTGCTAGTCTTTTTACTAACTGAATCTGTTTCCTGATTCTTCATTTCAAACGGAACTTGGGTGCCCAATATCTGAGGTGTGGTGATGATGATGGTTGTCACTGTATGGGGGCAGTGGCTGCTGGGCCCTGTGACTTCTGTTAGTTCTTCTCATGCCTTTTGGAAAAGGCTGAGCCCATACAGCTTTGAAATCTGATAAGATCTGTTTAGCTACAGATACTCTGGATTTTCTAAAGGTTTTTCTCTGCTTGGAATGTCTGGACTGCCGCCTGGGGCTGGGTGGGGCTCTGGTGACCTGGGTAGGCAGAGCACGAACAATCCTCCTACTTCTTCCAGGCTTCAGCCAAAACTTAGAGCGACTATTTCTGCTTTTGTGTTGCAGGTACCTTTTGTATCTGCAAATTAAAAGAGATATTTTTCATGGTCGACTGCTGTGCTCCTTTTCTGATGCTGCCTACCTGGGTGCCTGTATTGTTCAAGGTGAGTCTGGCCCCACTGTGCTCTCTCCCATCATTGCATAAAGCTGCAGAGCTTTGTCCCATGCCTCCCCTCTCCCCAAATTGTGCCCATCCTGTTATGTCTGTGTTTGGAGGTGTGGTGGGACTGCAAATGTAGCACAGTCCCTTGCTCAACTTCTGTCCGAAGCCAGTGGAATCTTGGTGGAAGGCTGGTCTGAGATGTTCACAGTAACCTCTGCAAAGACAAAGTGTCCTACAAAGACCCTAAATAGGGTTCAGAGTGTCTTTTTCAAAGTTGCTGAACTGTGTAGTTATTTAAGAAATTCTCTAGAGGTATGGATATTCTGTGTTTTGAGTTCCAACTACCAAACATGAGGTCTAAGGGCATTTTGAGAGGGAGAAACCGTGTCTAGGAAGGTAAGTTTCAAATAAGGAAGTCATCCCCAAAGGATTTATAAATACATATGTATATATGTATATATATATATATATATATATATATATATATATATTCTCATCATATATGTATATATATATTTCCCTGTGTGTGTTTGTATATATGTGTGTAAGTATATGTTCATGTGTGTATATGTACACATATATTTTCATGTGTACCTGACTGTGTGTACATAAATATTCCTATGCGTGCATGTATGTATTGTATACATGTATATTTTCTTGTGCATATTGTGTATATGTACATTTTAACATGTGTATATGTGTTCATGTATATTTCATGTATGTATATGTATGTGCATGTGTATTTCATGTGATGTGTCATGTACATGTATATTTTCCAATGTATATGCATGTGCATGTATATTGTGTCTAATTCCTCAGTTTTTCTAGCCATGTAACAAAATGAAGAGAAAATTAGTTTCACTATCTCTTATACCTCAGTTTGAACCTTTTTTCCCATTTCCTGGTTATTTCACCATAGACAAATTGCTTAAGTGCTTCATGCTCCAGTGTCTTCATCTATTAAATGAATGGTCAACCTTCTCCCTGGCTGTGTGATTTCATGAGACCATTCTGCACCAGGTGGAGGGAAGTGCAGGAACCTCAGTGGTGGCTGCTGTTCTTTTTAGGGTTAAACCAGCTGCAGGGAGAGAGATCAGTGGGAAACAGTGAATGCAGAGACCTGGGTTGGCTTCTAGATGCTTCTACCTTGTAAGGACAGTGTTTGAGAGAAGGCCCTCTAGTTCCTGAGGCAGCACATTGCTAGGGATGTGCCCACACTTGAATGAAGTATGGGTTGGGTGTGCTGTTCCCTGGGGTTTGTTGGAAGGCAGCTGGCCACAGGGGCTATTTGGAGAGACCCTGATGATCCAGCCATTTGTAGCAGAATGCTTTTGGCATGACTATGAGGGGGGAAGGAAGGGAGGGAAACATAGAAGGGGGGGAGAGAGAGGGGGGAGGGAGGGAGAGAGAGAGAGAGAGAGAGAGAGAGAGAGAGAGAGAGAGAGAGAG